TGAAGTCCATGATGGGGATGCAGAACAAGGACAAAAGATGAATGTGATGGTGGCAGATGTGTGGTGAGTGTGAGAGGGGAACCAGACGCTGGCTTGGATGTGAGCGAGCTTTATTTACACTCTGGTGGCACAAACAGAAACACAGCAAGTAAAACAAAACCTAAAAGGTGACCTAAACTTGGAATGACTAACAAAACTAACCTGAACGGAAGACTCCGGTAGAAAGCGCAGGGAAGAAACACAGACGGACTAGTGACAAACATGAGAGAACACACACTATAAATACACTGATGGGAACGAGGAAATGACACAAAGGAGGGAGGCACAGCTGATTCTGATTGACAAGATGAGACAGAGGAAACGCAAAGTGAACACCTTGACATAAGACACAGACTTTCACAATAAAACAGGAAACTCAAAACATACGTGAAGACGCAGACTCAGAGACGCGGGCTTTACACAAAGACCTGACCACACTAGAAAGGATACACAGGCAAGGAAGACACAGAACAGAGGGAGCACAGAATTTACACTCGGAAATCAAATAACAAAACCTAAAAATCTGAACTCAGGAAGTACCACAAAACTAGGGAGCTAGAAACACTAGGAAAGAAACCAAAACACAATAGTCACAATCCATGATGAAATCAAAAGTAAAAGTACAAAAAACAAAAACACTGGGTCACCGACCCAGGACCATAACACCTAGGAATTTCAAAGAAAGAAAAAAGAAGGTTTTAGGTTGGGAAAATGATCTCTGTCCACTTTTGTCCACTCATTCATTCATGTAAGCTATCGAATGCAGCTTTGATCTTCACAGTTTGGTTTATGAAAGTCATTCTAACCCTGAATATCAGAGTGTTACTCCTTTCCTTTTCCCATGATTCATGCTGGCAGTGTTGGAGATTTGGATGTTGGACTGTGTTTTGTATGATGTGTGTATGTTTTATGTTGGAGTGCTGTTTGTAAAGCAAATGGCCATTTTGGTTTTTATTTCAGTGTCAGTGCCATTCCACCAAATATTAAGGTGGAATGGAGAGTAGTAGAGTTTTACAGCTGATTATCCAGTGGAAGATTTTTCTTCTTCTTTTAAGGGTTGTAATGTGAACATTTTTCTGCTATAGTCAATGGACTAAACCAGAGAAGTCTTTACCATGAAGATCCTCAGTGTGAATCAGTATAATATCAGCCTTATGTCTGCAGTT